AAAGCAAAAAATTCCCCCCCACGAGGAATGGCTCTGCCACAATTCCTTCTCTGCCATTATCCTCTCAGGATCGTGGGCACACATGCACTTGCTCCTGGCCTGAGTTTTAAGCCACCAGGTTTAGGACTCGAACCACTGTCTACTATGTGGGAGTCCAGGGATGTAACCATTATGCCATCTACTGGTCACAACAAGAATATATCTTTTTTTTTTTCTTTTCTTTTCTTTCTTTCTTTTTTTTTTTCCGAGAGGATTTTTGCTATCGGGCATGTGAGCTCCCCAGAAAGACAGAGAGAGACGGAGAGACAGAAAGTGAGAAATCACCCCCCCCAGGGGGGATGGCTGTGCTGCAATCCCTTTTCCATTCTCCTCTCGGGATCTTGGGCATGCACGCACATGTGCCTGGCATGAGTTTAGGCCACTGGGTCTGGGACTCGAGCCACGGTTGACTACATGGGAATCCAGCAACATAGCCATTACACTAACTGATGGTTCCAAGAATATATTTCTTAAGAAAAATTGTTATTCAAGACATAGTATATTTCAAGGTTATGATTTTTTAAAGTGGACACTCTTGTATCAGGATACTAAATTTGTTTGCAAAGTCATGCAACGGAAGGATGTTAATAATGAACAGAAAGCATAGCTCTATTCTCATGTAATGTTGCCCTGGTTCCTCAACAGCAGGAAGATATTTAAAGTTGTAAGGCAATACATCAATTATGTCACAAAGATTCTAGAAAAATACTTAAAATGTATCCAGGTTGTTTTATTTTAAAATAGCTACTTGTAGTTCATTTTATGATTCAGAATGAAAAGGACAGGCCAGCCAATGCAACTGTAGGCTAACCTAATGATAGCCATGCTGGCAGGTGTGGTCTTTTGGGTAGGAATGAGCCCAGCACTGGCATAGGGAAGGCTGAACAGTGGTTAGACTGGAGAAGACCAGTTAGCTGGGTAGGTGGGTCTGCCAGGACATTTCCTTGGAAACTGGAAAATGTAAGAGCTATTATAAGGGCTCTGCTATAGCTAATGAGTTGGAAGGAATTAAAGAAAAATAATAAAAACAAGAAGAGAGAAGAAGGAGGTTCAGTTGGAAAAGGAGAAACTATCAGAGACATGGTAGAGATGTAAGTGGAAACCACACACACACACACACACACACACACACACACACACAACCAAACACCGTAATACC